TGCGGATTTAAATGATGTACGATAAGGTTTGTTTTTAGTATATATTTAAATATTTTTCTTAAGATAAAGTTTGTAAAGAGAAATATTTTGTACAATTTATAGCTGTTACAATTCATCAAATAAAATTGAAATTGATTGAAAAAGGATGAATAATAATTATGAAAAAATTTACAAAGATTCTGAATTACTAAAGCGAAACATCACCAGACAATCGACCAGAATCCATCTATTGTACATTCCTTATTAGTCTTACATAATTTATTAAATGTAGTATCTGATGAAAACCCGATAATCTCCCTATCTTCTTGTATTCTGAACGTAAACGTAGATTCATGTGTTCCTATAAAATATCTATTTAAAAAGAAAAGGCAAGGTTATATGAAATTTCTATATTATCATAAGCTATGTATTAGCATTTATAAAAGACAATTATTGAAAGAATAATCTACATTTAACGCCCTATTTACAATCAATCATCATATTGAATAGAAATATTCTTACCTGGCATATGAACAGATTATTTGATCAATGATGGCGACTCCACCATCTTTAAATTTATTTATCACATAATCAGATGGCACATATTTCATGACTTTATACTGGGGTAAATATGACTTAAGTTCTTCAAATTCTAAAAATTATGATTCAAGTATTATTTAATTTTTCTTCATATTCAAGATATCTTTTCAATAACTTGTATATTTAGTATGTAAGGGAACTTTCCTTCGGACGAAATTATTTTTAAAAAATCATTATAACGTTTAACATTCCGTATTTATTAATTAAAATTAAAATTTTTGCAAATTAAAATTCCCTCGAAAAGTAAAATTCATTTAAAATTAACAAAAATATGATAATTAGAACATTACTTCTTTTTTCTGTTTTACTTATTATTTGCTATTGTTATTCAATCAAAAATTATAAGTTTCAACATTTTTTAATGCGTTTAGAAAAAAATTGATTACGTATTGGCTAAAAAAATTTACAAATAAAAATTCGTAAATTCTTAAACCGTAAGTTTACACAAGTAAGTTTATACCGTATTGCTCTGCATCTGTTGCAACAAACAATAGGGTTAGCTCAAGCTTAGCCATTCTTTTTTGTAATTGTAAGGCAGTATTCATTATTGTCGGCACCGACGCCTTGTGAGCCATGATAAAATCGCGTCTCCTAAGATGAACCGCCAAATATGGCCCGCCTCTTGCATTTCGCCGATTCTGAACTTAGAATCCATAGCTGTAATTTAACATTACTATAATATAAAAAAAATAAAAATCACAATATACCTTCTCCTTAGTCCAATCCGCTGGTCGCTCCGTATTATCATTCTCATTCGTAGAATTCAGGAAAGTTTTCCTATAATCTTCTGCGATATCGTACAATTCAGAATTATAACGCATGCTGCGTCTAGCTCTCCAATATTCTTTAGATCCATACTCGTCATGTAAAGCAATCTCCATGCGATCAAACATTACGGATCTGTGCAAGAACGTTAGTAAGATTCTTAAAAAAGCGAAATAGAAACATTCAGAATATTTTACCTGTATCGCGTTGGCATGAGATTCTGGGAAAGGTCCCATGCCATGCCATGAAATTTAAGACATTTCACATCCTGAGCCGTGACGTTAGAATAGCCCCAGAATGGACCGGTGTACATATGTCGTTTCAATTTATGATATTGCAAAGAATTATGATCGCAATCTATCAGCTCGTTTTTATCCTCGAATTTACCTGTCTTGAACATTTCCTTGTCATTTTGGAGAATGTACAGACGATCAAGTTTCACCTCTGTGTTTCCGCATGAGTACTCTAAAATCAAGCTGTTATACAGTCAAATAAATCATTTATATCAAATTCTCATAATACCTCAAAATTCTCATAATTAAAAAATAAGATTTATATATATAAAATTTATATATATAAAAAAAATATATATATATTAAAATATTCTATATATATGTATACATATATATGTATAATAGAAATTCAGTACAGTTATTAAATCTAGAGAATCTGCATTAGATAATAAAAAAAGTATACATCAATCAGACTATATTATCCAAGAGAGAGAAATAAAGCATAAAGCATATAGCATACTCTAGAAAATTATATATTCTTTCTTTAGTTTTTGAGCAAAATATTCTATGAATATCTGCTGGTACTTCAAACATTGTATAATAATAAATCATTATAATTCAAAAATTAAATTCTGAATTTATATATGTTTATATGACAAGTCTTGTTTTATTTTATACTTTGGCTTTATTCCTTGAAGATTAGTTCTCAACAGTCTTGCAGTTAAGAAAAAACATAAAGAAATGTACCTTCCACAAATTCATACATCTCAATGACAGGTATATACAGTTGTAAACTCGTAATGTCAAAAAAGGTACCCCAAGGTAGACGCTCTTGGGATCCTATAGTTCTACTTCGCCAGTGGTATAGATTACCTAAAACAAAGATTAAGAAATGCTTACTATAAATAATAAAGCTCACGGAATATATCTTTAGTTCATAAATTACCCCATGGTGGTAAAACCAGTTGCCACTGAAATTCCTTGTCCCTCTCAATTAATTTTCTTAAGAAAACGGCAATACGAATGTACACATCTCTTCTCAAATTGAAGCCTTCTGCAGGATTTACGTCATAAAGGATGTAACTGTAAAGAAAATATACCTATGTTCAGAAATAAGACACAGATTTTATACTTTAAAATGAGATGAAAATTATAAAAGTGAGTAAATTCAGGTGTTCATCCAAGCAATGACCAAGTTATAAGTATTTTAGTAAATTTACTCACTTTTATAATTTTCATCTCATTTTTCAAGATACAAAAAAAATATAAACAAAAGGAGAAAATAAACAAAAGATCTTCAACTAATCTATAATATCATGTAACATAAAGTTACCATACATTTCCATGTATATTACTCCATATGTTTATAAATTTCAATGAGAAAATTAGATATACCTATATTTTTTAAGTTTCATTGAGACATCTTGAAGATGAGATTTAAGAAATGTAACTTTGTCATTGAGATTTATAAAATATAAATATATATGAGATAAATATATATAGTAACTTTATGTCACACAGTATTATAAAAATTTGTATAAAAAAAAAATATTGATGTATGAGTATATAACTTCCAGGTTATATTAAAATTTAAAAGATATAATTTGAAATATATATATATAAATATAAACAATGAGACTTGATCAGCATTTTACATTTTTTGGTTGCATAGTTTTCAGTCATAAAATCTTCATTCAGCAAAAAATCTTGTTTTAAAGAGTTAATGAAACTTGATGAAACGAATTCGTAAATTTTAAGTTTTTCTGGTGTGAAATCTCAGTAATTTCTAACCGTTTTTTTGTGAAGCGGTTCTCAGCGAGGCATTTCCTTGAATCCACGGTGCACTCGTCGGGCGCCTCGCAAAATCCGGATTCGCTGCCACTCGCGACGAATGCAATCGAAATAATAATACATAGAACTTTCAAGGCGGACATCTTTCAAGTTTCACTCGCAAATCTTACATTCCTCTTCTTCTTTCACTATGCTCCAGTCATGAACTTCCAACCTTTATGTTGTATTGAATATCGCAGAACTTATACTGAATCATACTAAATAGAGCAGAGAGGATGAGAGAGAACAAGCTAAGCTTCTTTCTGATAATACATAATAAAATCGAAATTCTCTTGTTCGGTCTTTGGCCTCGTCTCTTTCTTATATCATTAATCATTACATGACGACTAATGATGCGGCTATTTATAACAAAATAAAAGACTGTAAATGGGTGCGTTCAGCAGAACGTTTGTTTTGCAACTGTTGGAAGTTTCTTTCGCGCTAATTGGATCATACTTTTAGATCTAGAAGAATGATCCTATCTCAGCAGACAATTATAAAACGATTGCAAAACTGTTGAGTCTGCTGAACGCAGCCAATGGGCGCATTCAGCGGACTCAACAGTTGAGTGAGCGCTCGCTGTTATTGGTGTATTCTTTTAGATCATCCAATCAGAATTTTAGATCTAGAAGAATACGTCAATAGCAGCGAACGCTCGCTCAACTGTTGAGTCCGCTGAATGCAGCCAATGTGTTATCTGCCAGAAATGTCAGTAGCTACATAGTTCAAGTGCACGTTTTATTGCAAATAGAGGCGCCACTGGTTTCCGTCCTCCATCTTCTTGATCGGTAAAGTCACTAGATTTCTAAAGTAGCGCAATTAAGGTCATCACACGTACAAAAATTTTACGATTACGACTAAAATTTTTGTACGTGTGATGGCCTTTAGGTCTGTTCGCGTTGCATGAATTCCTCAAATATTTTTACACTTAGGGTGAAATCACACAGTGCGGAAAAAGACTGCGG